ATATGTGCCTGGCTAGATTTCAGAACTTCTCTGGATCAGCATTTGCTACATGCCTTCTACTCCTCCTCTGTTTTAAGGGGAGTRTCTATGGAGGTTATCCTGTACCTGTATCACCATGCTAGAGGGGGTGTGTCTTTTCAGTTCACAGATCTCTATCAGCTTGGGCACAGCACTCCCTTCCAGAAGTGGAGTCTAATCTTACCCTTCCTTTTTAAATCTGAGATGACCTTGTGCTTTTTTTTCACTAACAAAATGTAGCAGAAGTGACATATGACTCAAGAAGTCTTGTAGTTTCAGCTCTTGTCTTCTTGGAACACTACTACTATTATCTAAAAAGCCCAGGCTATTCCCAGTAAAGAGGCCACATGAAAGAAAATCAATCTGCCCCCACTGATGCCTCCAGATAATGAGTAGGCACTTGAGTGAGTACATCTTAAACTATCCAGTGAAGCAGTCAGATGACTGAAGCCACATGACTGACTCTAGCATTTAAAACACAACAATTAAACACACACACACACACACACAAAAAAAAAAAAACCTTCCAGCTAAGTCTAGCTTAAATAACAAAATCACTAACCAATGAATTGCTTTAAAACCACATTTGAAACTGTTGAATACCAACAGATAACTGAGATAGTGGTAAATAAAATAATTGTGCATCTTAAAATGGGCAGCATCTTAATTCTAGGGCTCCCAATCTTCTGACTCAAAATTTTAAATTGGTAGAAAAACARCAACATCAGCTTCATGTAAATGTCACTATAAATGTAGTAAAATAAAATGGATGACATCCTTGATATTATAAAATGAAAACAAGTGGAGGCATACTCTTGTGTCCCCCAAAATTCATATGTTGAAAGCTAAACACCAAGGTGATGATGTTAGAAGGTGGAGCTTTTGGTGAGTGATTAAGCCTTCCCAGAATGGCATTAATGCTCTTAAAAAGAAGGCCCAGAGAGCTACCTTCCCCTTCTGCTATGTGAGGACACACAGAAGGAACCATTTATGAAAATCAGGTTCATATCAACACTGAATCTACTGGCCACTGGATCTTAAATTTGCACCCTCCAGAAGTGAGAGCAATACATTTCTGCTATTTATAAATTGCCCAGTATAAGGTATTTTTATTATAGCAGCCTGAACAGATAAGACAAATGATTAGCAACCTTGAATTATGGGTCAGTTTTTAATGGCAAGGTTTAAAATTGTTCAACTAAATTCTTAAGATGTCACTAAAATTACTATAAGCTAAAACATAACATAAATGAGAATGGTAAATTTCAGGCCATTTTTAAAAGACATTCTTATGGGATATGTTCTAAGACACTACAGATACCAGAAATAGAGATTTATATATATAAATAAATATGTATATAGATAGATAGATAGATAGATAGATAGATACACATACATACACACACAAACCCATGATAATATTTAATTTATAAATTAGGCATAGTAAAAAATTAACAATAACTAAAAAATAGAACAATCATAATATACTATAAAAAAGCTTATTTAATATTTATGAACTGTTTGCTTCTGAAATTTTTTCATTTAATATTTTCTAAAAGTCATTGACTGCCGCAGTCTGGCTGGGCACAAATCACTAAAGCAGGAACAAACTTTATTTCCAAACTCCCAGGAACACACCCACGCAGCCTTCTCCGGGGTCACACCACACACCAACCTGAACTCCCTCCACCGGAACTTCACCAACCAACCSGAACTCTCCATGGAATCCCCACGAGAGCTCAACCGGATGGAGAACTCAAATACTGGCAAAAGGCTAGGAGCCATCCCAACTTGGCTGTGGCTCTCAACAGTTGACCATGGGTAACTAAAATAGGATGAGGGGGACTACTCTATTTAAAAAGCAGAATTACTTCTTAAGGCCAAAACAAAATGGACATTGTGTTCATATTTAATATCAAATTCTTCTATTGGGGGGCTCCAAATAAAAAACAAGAATTTTGAAGTCAGAAATACAATGGAATACACATTGTGTCACCAACAATGGACTGGTAATCAGGACTCCAAGAGTGTTGACACCAATTCTATACTACCTACCCATGGGTGAACAAACTGCACTAATTCTGGCCCTTAGTCATACATTTTTATCCTGACTTGCAGAAACCAGTATAACTAATCTCTGTTGGTTATTGAACTCTCCCTTTACAAGCTTGTTTGTCTCCATATTAGACTAATATCCATTAAGGATAGAGATATTTCTTCAAAACTTGTTGAATGAACGAACAACTGAACAAAAGAATAAGGAACATGCCAATTGTTAATACAAACTTATTATGTAGAAAACATTTTTTTCTTTCAAGCTTAACAACTACACTTAACAACTCCAGAATGGACTTTCAAACTTCCATACAATTATCTATTTATTTCGGAATACTATAGTTTTGCAATTACTTCAAGTTTCTTTATGAATAAAAACATTCAAACTTCATAAAGCCATTTACTATGACTAGCACCACTGGAATAAAGCAGGTGATCCAAAAAATAAATAGAATGAATTGAATCTAGGAAGTAACAGCCAATAAAATCAAATAAACCACTGTAGTCATATCACCTAAAAGGATTCTACTCAGAAATCATTTTATGACATGGTTCAAATGAAGATGTTTGCACAAGTGTTCCTAATATAATGGTAAAGCAAAAGTAATGTTAAGGAATAACAAAATGATTATCAAAACTGATTTAATCAAAAGTTAGAATAGATAGCAAATGTGAAATATCAAACAAGATTTGAAAAGAAGGATGATCATAAGATAACACACATATGAATCTAGGAACTATTTAGCTTTAAGTAGAGAATATAAAAAAATGTTATTTCAAAAATCACTTTTATGGCCTGTGCGGTGGTGCATGCCTGTAATCCCAGTGGCTCAGGAGGCTAAGGCAGAAGGATCACGAGTTCAAAGCCAGCCTCTGCAACTTAGCAAGGCCTTAAGAAACTCAGCTACAGCTTGTTTCTAGATAAAATATAAAAAAGGTTGGGGATGTGGTGAAGCACCCCTGGATTCAATCCCTGGTACCAAAAAAAAAAAAAAAATCAAAGAAGCAGAAGAAAAAAAGTATGTACTACAGATATAAACTKTGAGCAGGGGCAGTTGTATACAAAACAGAAAAAGATCATTCGGAAAATGTATACAACTAAGTCTTCTTTAGACCTAAATTATCTATTTCTTAAAGCATTTCATGTACTTGAAAAATCATTGTTCCCATATTCAAAGAAAGCAAAGTTTATAATTTTATATCACACTGAATGTATACTTAAAACTACTTTTGGGTTTAGAATTACTACAGTAACAATATGGATGTMAGAAGAGGCAAGTGTCATGGCAACATTAGATGTCACAAAAGAGCAGTCGGAGCTAAGACGATAATATCTTGCTTAACAAGAGAAGTTAATATGAAATGAGCCATGTAATCTATGACTAAATAAAAAATAAACAGCACCAATGAGATATCTGAATTAGGAAAAGCTAACAGGTTCTTACTATTATACCTTCAAAATATTTTAAAATAACACCCATTTGGCAAATTATGAAATGTCTCTTTAGGAGCTCTATGATTTCAGAATAACTTTTTTTTTCCCCCACAGCATAGAAGGGAGTCTAACTACAACAAAACTTCTGGAGGGAAAAGTTCTCAAAAATGCAACCAAATCATCTTTTACAAAAGCTAAAAGCTACAGGCCAGTTGTACTAAATTTTCTCAAATGACATTGGGGGCAAGAGAATAGTGACTGAGTACTTCATATTTCTATAAAGTAAGTCAAATTGTTAACTATAACTAGGATCATTTCGTTAAAATAATCCTTCACGAAATTATCAGGCCACCATCAAAACAGGCATTTTTCCCCCTCTTCCTGAGTTCTCCATAAGAAGTAAAACCTGGAATAAGAGATATAAACCAGAAGTGCCACTTGTGTGACCACACATTAAAGTTACTATTTTGTGACTACAAATTAAAGCTACTAAAGCACATGGTCAGGGGAAATTAATAAACAACCAACAGTTGGAAACATATTACACTTTCTAAGCTTTACCCTCATTAAGAAATCCAGAGCACTTTTCTAGAGATAGTTGCATTTAAGCCCAGATAATGAATATTTTAGCTGCCTTTCTTTGCCGGTTTTTGTGCCAAGCCCTTTTGAAGCTGGGGATGATTAGGTCGAATCCAAGAAGGAAAGCAGCTCTTGCGGGAAATGGTATCTTCAAACAGCCCAGAACACCAGTGACGCACTAGGAGCTTGGAAAATATCCCGTCCTTTACCTTGCTAGGAGCAGCTAGGTAGGAAGATGTCGACCACGTGCACTATTGTTTTCCAGATATGTTTATTTATTTTTAACTTCTGCTTTGATATCAGTTCCCTTAACCTCAATCTAATAGGGGGAGGCGGCATGGCAGCGCCGCTGGTGGTACCTGGGCTCAACAAGAGTTTAAATAATAAACACATATAAATATATTTTTTAATTGCAGCATACTCAGTACCCTCATCTCTTGTCCAGACTTCTGCCATCACCCCACGCTGGTCTTCTTCGACACTGCCGCTTCCTTGGGTCCCCATGACAACCCCACCCCAGGGCGGGCCCCCTCTGGCAGCCTCCTGGCCCTTGCCTGGGCCTGCCAGACACACTTGCCCAGCAAGTGACGGCTCCACCTGCCTTTCGGCCTCCACCCTCCCAGCTCCCAAGAATAGGATGAGGACCCTTCCCGGCGCGCGGGCCCAATCCCCGGAGAGGGCAAGACCCTCCTCGGCAGGTGACGTGGGGCGGGGCAGCCGACGCAGAGCTGGGGAGGTTCCAACCCCAACCTCAAAGAGCGTAGTGGGGGGCCAGGTACGACCCCCAAATGGGGTGCGGCCGCCCCATCCCCTCTCTGGCCGAGGGACAGGCACAGGGGGCGCGAAGGAACTCGTTTGTTGTCACAAACAACGGCGCGTCGTGGCGGTAAGAGATGCTGGGGCCGAAGCTCACCTTGAAGGGGTTGTTGAGATCCGGATCCGCAAACGGGTTACTGTCAAAATCCGACATCTCTCTCGCGCTCGGCGTCACCCACCCGACCCAGGCGCAGAGAGAGAGACGAGGCGAGGCCGCCGCCCCCCTGCGCGCTCACGTCGCCGCCGCTGCCGCCGAGCAGATCCGGGTGCAGCTCGCGGGGCCACCCAGCCGGCCGTGCCACTGAGCATGCCCGGTGCGACGGGCTCCGGGCCGGCGGCACCGCTCCCGCTCGCCGTCCCGTTCCTCCGGGCCTGGATCCCACGCTCCGGGCTTTGGCTAGGATCGAGGAGGGAGCAAGGGCGGAGGGAGCCGGGAACGGAGGGGGAGCGAGAGTGACGCGTCCCACACTCCGAGGACCGAGTGAGACGAGCGATTAGGTCTGGCTGAAAGAGATTGTATTAATATGGATTTGAGATCGGATTCCTAAGACCCACCGTGCCAGACTTTAAAGAAGAGGTGGTGTTTTGTGGGGAAGAAGCACCCTGACCCCACTTGTCAGGTTGGGGAGCCGGTCTGGGACGCGGCCCGCACACCTGGGGAGCCAGTGACCGCGGCAGTCGGGGAACTGGAGAAACCTCGGCAGCTGTCCCCAAAGAACTGCCGCGGGTCGCAGCCCTCGGTAATGAATTTTGCGCACGCCTGACCCAACCTGGGAATCCTAGCCTCCCATTTTCGTGCCCCCCCCCCCATTCTAGGTTGCTTCAAAATCATGGAGAACCATCTCGACGATCCGAACTTGCTCCAAGGAGGTTTGGGAAAGAAATGAGATGCAGTACCGGGCCTCAGTACTTCCCATCCACCCCTACCCGCCAAACGATGGCGTGGGAGCTGGAGAAGGAAAGGAGAAGGGGGCTTGAGTCCTGATATCAATCCTCCAAGTTAATAGGAGTGAAAGAAGCCGGGTTTTTGTTTACTTTCAGATATTTGGGTGTAAAATATACACCTCTTGATTTTTTTGCTTATTCTCATCCCAACGTCAGGAATGAGATTAGCATTTGCATGTGTAAGGAATACTTTTGTGTATATTGAGCCACTCCTGAACTTTGTTGGGAGGATATCGCTTTCCTCACAATTGTCTTCCTTCCGCGCTGACATAAAAGCACTCAGATGAAGCTAGTGAGAGCCAGAATTAGTTTGACTTTCTAAGTTTCTAAGAATTGGCAGTATCTAGATTTAATCTTCCTAGGCCTTTGGGGTGGGAGGGCTTACACTATGCAAAGTCACCTAGGAAATAATACTTTCTCCTCAATGTGAAAACACAAGCTGGAAAAGAAAACACACTTGCTGTAATCTGTCTTAGATAGGATCCAGGCTGGCATAACAAAGCAGCTTCTCCTAGGCAGTGGGACTGAAAGTGTCAACTATCTAGTAAGTGATAACAGATGAGAATAATCCCCTCAGAGCTGTAAGAGTCTAGATATGAAAAAGCAAGCAATGGATTGTGCTTACAATCATACTCAGCAGCTGCCTGGTGCCTGGCTTATAACAGGGCTTCTAAATGTGTTGGGTTCAAATTCCAATTCTGATAGTACTTTGTGCCACTCACTTCACCTCTCTGAACCTGCAAAAGGTTATTTAAGAATAAAATGAAATGATATAAAAATGTATTTAGAGCCTATTAAATGTCCAAAAAGGTTCCTATGTGCTTTGCCTCCTCCCTACTGAACTTGACTTTACTCAGCTGATCTGCTTCTCTCACCAATATGGCCCTCACTCTTTCCACCTATCCTCCAAAGGACTCAAATAATTGGTAGCTATTTACTATGCATCTAGTATGTTCCAAGACAATAAGTATCAGTTGAACCTGTCTTATGCTGTTTATAACTAATTGCGTTCGCACCTAATGCAAAGATTTAAGACTTCATTGTTGTAAAATCACTAGGAATACTTGTTAAAGATGCAGACCCCCACCTCTTCATACCTCCTATTCTTAAGATTCTACTTCAAGGGGTCTAAAATGGGGGTCCTGAATTTGCATTTTTGTTTTATATTTAAAATGTCTTTATATTAATGTTATATAAATGCATAAAATGGATTCATCATATAGTACTTTTTTTATTCTTCAAAGAAAATTTTTGTTTATCTTCTCTTTCCCTATGTTAAAAATCTTGTATATATCTTTGAACAATCTTACAATATTATATATCCATAATCACATACTATACCACTCACATAATCATAGTACAGGATTATGTACTCTCATACTACATCTTGACATTGTGAAAAAATAGGACCACATGCATATTTTTCTGCAACTTGTTTCCCCTCACTAAATGGTAACTTATGGCAGAGTTTCTCAGCAATATGTGCATTAGCAAAGAGACAAAGTTTTCTTATGCCAGTATGCCACTTAATTTTTTTTTTTTTTTGGTAATTCTTTTTGGGTTGTTGGGGGCTACCAGGGATTGAACCCAAGGACATTTAACCACTGAGCAACACCCCCAGCCCTTTTATTTTTTATTTTCAGACAGGGTCTCACTAAATTGCTGAGATGTCTTTGAACTTGTGATCCTCCTGCCTCAGCCTCCCAAGCCTCTGGAATTTCAGGCTTGTACCACTGTGCCCAGCTTGCCACATAAGTATTATCACATTATGTGAGGCAAAAAAAGAGTTGGGAAGCATCGCCTAATGGAAATCCCCCCAAATCAACAACTATACATAGGTTAGATTTTGATCACTATAACAAAAAAAAAACAAAACAAAACAAAAAACTGGAGATAAATACCTTAAAAGTAGAAAAGATTTACTTTGGCTTACAATTTCAGAGGTTTCAGTCCATGGTTGGTTGGACCCATTATCACTTCAGACCTGTGGTGAGGCAGAATATCACATCACAGAGCTGGAAAGCGCAGATAGAAATAGAAAGTGAGGAAAGGGCCTGGCTCTTAATATACCCTTTAAGGGCATGGCCCCAATGACCTACTTCCTCCAAATAGGCTCCACTTCTTAAAAGTTCCCCCGGCCTCCCAATAGTGCCACCAGCTGGGAGCCAAACTTTCAACATATGCTTCTGGGATACATTTAAAATTCAAATTATTTATTTCTATGCATGTATGAACCCAACTACTATGTATAATCATTAAGCTCTAATAAAAATAAATAAAATGCAAATTATAATAATGTATCTAATTCATTATTTTTAAATACTGTAAACTCAGCCTATATAAAGGATCCCATAAGATTCTGATAGCGGTGATGTGCTGACCACAGTTCAAGAAACTGAGAGAAAAATATCGAGATATAAAGTCCATAGGTGAGTTTATTTATTCATTAGCTTTCGTGAAACTAGAATTACAGGATATGAGAGCTGAAAGAAGTGTCAGCCTCTCTCATGACAGGTGAACAAACTGAGTTTGGGTGGGTTTAGTAATTTGTTTTGGTGGCAGAAGAAGTGAATGGGAGAATTGGGAATAGAATTCATGTCTTTTGACTCACATCTCAGACATTTAATTGATTTGGTTAGCAATAATTTCACATAGGAAGAGGAATTGCTACATATAAGGTAGAAAGTCTTCACACAAGAGACCATTTGGTGTTGGACCTGCCTCTTCAATTTGGTAAAAAAGAATCTAGAATCGAAATTAGTTTCTAGGTCCAGTTGTGCCACATATCAGTTGAGCGACCTTGATTGTATCAATTCACCTTCCTGACCTGAGTTTCCACTCTAGTCCATCAGTCAACAAGTATTTCTTGAGTAGGAACTAAGTGGTAAGTAATATTTCAGATGCTGCGGATTAAGCAGTAAAACAGACACAAGGGTTAGACTTGCTCCCAAGAAACCTCCTGAAAGGCCCAAAATGTGGTTAAACAATACCTCATGTCCTTCAAATGGCTATAACAATATATTAATCCATGAGAGTGGTTCACATCTTCCTATCCCTGTTTCCTTTTTCCCTTAGGATATGCTACACACCATTATCATGAAGCCTTTCCTCAGCTTGATAATGTAATTTGTGCATACAGTGGGCAAGGGTTATGTATGATCCAAATTCTATATTTTCTATACTGGCAAATGCTGAGGAAATGTCAAGTTAGAAATTTACTTTTTTTAACCTCAAAAGGTTCACTGGATTCTGGTTTCATTGATGGGTCAGAACTAAAATCTATCATATTTTGCAAGGGACTCGTTCTCCAGAAATACTGCTGCGTCTGCTTCTACTGATACCCACGAGATCCCAACAAGAACATATCTGGCCCCTTATTCTGCCACTGACTATGTTTCCCAGGAGGGATTAGAGGAGATGAAGGCAATGTGTGATAGGCCAAATAATAGCCCTGCAAATATGTTCACACTCTAACCCCTGCAACCTATGTTACCTCACATGATAAAAGGACTTAACAGATATAATTAATGCTAAGGACCTTGAGATGGGTAGATTATCCCAGATTATCTACGTGGGCCTAATGAAATCATAGGAATCCTTAAAACTAGAGTAGGAAGGCAGAAGTGTTGCTGACTTTGAAGATGGAGGAAGGGTTCATGAGCCAAGGCAAGCAAGTGGAAGAACTCTAGAAGCTGGGAAGAACCCTCAGCTGACAGCCAATAAGGAAATGGAGTTATCAGTCCCACAACCTCAAGGGGCCAATTCTGCCAATAATCTAAATGAGCAAGGAAATAGGTTCTTTCCTACAGACTCCAGGAAGAAGCCCATCCCTGCTGGCAGCTTGATTTTACCTGGGGAGACCAATGTTAGACTTCTAGCCTACAGAACTATAGGATAGAAATTTTAAGCTGCTAAATTTGAATTTGTTAGGGCTTCAAGAAAAAAAATAATACATCACACTGGGATGTGAAAAAATAATGGAAGGAACAGAAGGGTCATGTCTTTCAGCTCCTTGATATCCAAGATTTCTAAGCAGAAGATCATTCAGATCAAGATAAAAATGCAAAGAGAAAATGAATGTAATTTGACTTGTTCTGAGAGAAAACTCTCAGTTATGCCCAACTTTTAAGTATTCATTGAATGAAACAAACTGAATAAAGAAAATTTTGGAAATAAAGACTCAGAAAAATGAGATATCCCATCTGATTCAAATGTATGCTATGTCAAGGTCATTGTACTGTCATGTGTAACTAATTAAAACAAAACAAAAGACTAATAGAGCTACACTAATAGCACAAAGACAAGTATTGAGGCCTTCCTCTGTGTCCAAAGGACAGCCTCAGTT